CTAAAATCTGCACAATCTCTAGGTCTTATTTTTTTCAATTAATGTCTCTACTCAAGACTCTTAAACTGTTAACTCAACTCATTATTACTTATTGTGAATTTTCTGTACTTGTGTCTCCAACAAATTTGTAGAATCCCTTCCCCTCTTAACACCTCCACAGCCTTCCACAGTGTCTTGTCACTGACTTCTAAGTACTTCAGGACTTCTCCCCGGCTCTGACTGCCTGGCGATCGTTAATAACAGCTCCTCTGCTCTTATGGACCATTTACCCCTTCATCAGCCTACTTCTGGCCCCTTTTCCTTCTCTCTGGTGGTTGTAATGCAGGCTACAATGAAGGTTCATAATGTATTCTTGTTATTTGAGAACTTGGATTCAGGAAACAAAGAGTGGGGATAAATGAGTGCTATTCTAGCTGGCAGTCAGTGACTAATGGTGTGCCTCAGGGATCGGTGTTGAGACCGCAATTATTTACAATTTATATAGATGATTTGGAGTTGGGGACCACGTATAGGGTGTCAAAGTTTGCAAATGACACTAAGATGAGTGGCAGAGCAAAATGTGCAGAGGATTGTGAAACTTTGCAGAGGAACATAGATACATTGAGTGAGTGGGCATAGGTCTGGCAGATGGAATACAATGTAAATAAATGTGAAGTCATACATTTTGGTAGGAGTAATAGTAAAAAGAGTTATTACTTGAATGGTAAAAAGTTGCAGCATGCTGCTATGCAGAGGGACCTGGGTGTCCTTGTGCATGAATCACAGAAGGTAGGTCTGCAGGTACAACAAGTAATTAGGAAGGCAAATGGAATTTTGTCCTTCGTTGCTAAAAGGATTGAAATTAAAAGCAGAGAGGTTATGTTGCAGCTGTACAAGGTGCTGGTGAGGCCACACCTGGAGTACTGTGTGCAATTTTGGTCTCCTTACTTGAGAAAGGATGTATTAGCACTAGAGGGGGTGCAAAGGAGGTTCACTAGGTTGATTCCAGAGTTGAGGGGGTTGGCTTATGAGGAGAGACTGAGTAGATTGGGATTATATTCATTGGAATTCAGAAGATTGAGGGGGGATCTTATAGAAACCTATAAAATTATGAAGGGAATAGATAAGATAGAAGTAGGGAGGATGTTTCCACTGGCAGGTGAAGCTAGGACAAGAGGGCATAGCCTCAAGATTAGAGGGAGGAGATTTAGGACTGAATTGAGAAGGAATTTCTTCACCCAGAGGGTTGTTAATCTATGGAATTCCTTGCCCAGTGAAGTAGTTGATGCTACTTCAGTAAACGTTTTTAAAGAAAAGGTAGATTTTTTTTGAACAATAAAGGAATTAAGGGATACGGTGAGAATGCGGGTAAGTGGATCTGAGTCCACGAAAAGATCAGCCATAATCTTATTGAATGGTGGAGCAGGCTCGAAGGGCCAGACGGCCTACTCCTGCTCCTAGTTCTTATGTTCTAAAGTGAAAGAAAAGTTGATTTAGTTTTCAGTTCTGTGAAGTCTGACTTTTGAAGTAAATATTATTATGAACCATTCACTTGATGGGATCTTTCCAGATTCTGGGAGATTTTGAAAATAAAAAGCAACGTATTTACTATCTCACCAGCCATTCCTCTTCAGGACCAGGGGACTTGCCAGATGTTAGTTCTGATAACTTCCTTAACACCATTTCCTGATGATTGTAAATGCCAAAGGTTCCTTGCACCCTTTCATAATCTGATTCACAATTATTTCTGGATTTTATTTGTATCCTCTATCATGAAATTGATGCAAAATAATTGTTCAATCCATCTGCAATTTTCTTATTTTCCATTATTAATTCCTCAGACTCACTCTCGAGGACTAACACTCACTTCCACTATTATTTTTAAAATACTGTAGAAACCCTCACTATCTGTCATATTTCTAGTGTGCTTTCTCTCCTACACTACTTTCTTGCTTCTTATTGATTTTTTAGTCATTCTTTGCTATTCTTTACATTATAACAAATTTCAGATCTACTACCATCTTTGGGGAATTATACGATTTTACTTTCCCTTTGATATTATCTTTAACTTCCTTAGTTGGCCATGGAAGGTGCAAATTTGCTTTAGATTCTCTCTTTCTCACTGGTATATTCCTAAATGTCTGCCACTCTAACAATGCCAATCTATTCCTTATTCTAGTTTCCTAGTTCAATTTGGCCATTTTTGACCTCTTGCCCTCAATACCTTTTATTTAAGTTTGAATCATTTATCTTAGGTCCACATTTCTTTCCCTCAAACTAAATGTGAAATTTAATCATGTTACAACCTCTGTTACTTAGAGATACCTTTATAATAATCCTGCCTCAAAAGATTAGAACAAATCTAGAATAGCCTGCAGCCTGCTTTGTGGTCAGCTCTAGAACATGCTTCTAGAATCATGGAATTTTACAACACAGAAGGGGTCCATTCAGCGCATCATGTCTGTATCAGGCAACATCCTGGTAAACCTCTCTGCACTCTCTCCAAATCATCCATGACCTTCTGGTAGTGTAGCGACCAGAACTGCACTCAATATTCTAAATGTAGCCTAACTAAAGTTTTGTACTGCTGTAAATATAATTGCCAACTTTTATATTTGATGCCCCAGCCGACGAAGGCAAGTGTGCTGTATGCCTTCTTGACCACCTTATCCACCCGTGTTGCCACTTTCAGGAATCTGTGAACCTGTTCACCCAGATCTCACTGCATGTCAATGCTCCTAAGGGTCCTGCTATTTATTGTATAATTCGTACCTGAATTTGATCTTCCAAAATGCATCACTGCACATTTGTCCAGATTAAACTCCATCTGCCATTTTTCTGCCTAAATCTGGAATCTATCTATATCCTGCTGCATCATTTAACAATCCTCAGCACTGTCTGCAACTTTGACAATTTTGGTGTCATCCACAAACTTACTAATCCGATCACATTTTCCTCCAGATCATTTATATGATACAAACAACAAAGGTCCCAGCTCTGATGCCTGCGGAACACAATTAGTTACTGAGCTCCATTCTGAAAAGCACCCTTCCACAGGTACTCTCTGTCTTCAATGACCAAGCCAGTTTTGTATCCACCTAGCCAGCTCACGCCAGATCCCGTGAGACTCTACCTTCTGTATCAGCCTGCAATGAGGTACCTTATCAAATGCCTCACTAAAGTCCATGTAGACAACATTCATTGCTCTTCCCTCATCAATCATTCTTGTCACCTCCTCAAAAAACTCAATCAAATTGGTGAGACAAGACCTTCCCCACACAAACCTAAAAAGTCCATTTGCTTCCAAATGTGAATAAATCCTGTCTCTCATTATCTTCCCAAACAGCTTGCCCACCACTGACATCAGGCTCACCTGGATTTATCTGTTTCCCTTCTTAAACAACATCGGCCAGTTTGCAGTTCTCTGACACCTCGCCTGGGGCCAAAGAGGATGGGAAAATAACTGTTAAGGCCCCAACTATTGTCTCCCATAATATTCTGAGATAGATGCCCTCTGGACCTGAGGACTTGTCTACCTTAATGTATTTCAAGACACCCAACACTTCCTCCTTCCTTAATGTTGATCTGTCTGAGAGCATTCACATATATTTCCCTAACCTCAGCATTCGTCACGTCCCTCTCTTTGGCAAATACTGATGTAAAGTACGCATTAAGGGTCTCACCCACTTCCTCCGGCTCCACGTACAACCTTCCTCCTTGAGTGGGCCTACTCTTTCCTTATCTACCCTCTTCCTCCTAATGATTGTAAAAAAAAACTCTTCTCTGCTCCAAGGAGATTAGGTACAATTTCTCTTCTTTAGCTATCACAATACTGCTCAGTTGCACAACACCCACGTTTTCAACTAGGCCATTGTCTGTAATTTCTAATTTGATAAAGACAGAAGCAAAGTACTCATTTAGTATCTTGCCATATCCTTTACTTCAGTGAGTTGCTCACCCTTATAGGCCCCATTCTTTCCTTCACTAATATTTTACTATTAATTTGTTTAAAAAACGTTTCACTCTTTGTTTTAGCATAGCCTGCCACCCCCTTCCTCATGCTTCCTCTTAGCCTTCCTTATTCAAGCTCTTGTGAGTAAATCACCACAAGTTACCTTTAATTCCGCTACTTATTAAGAAAACTCACAATCAAGTATTGAAACAATAGTCAAACTTTCTTGCATGTAGCAACCAAATATTAAACCCCTCAAGTAAGCAAGTACAAGCCTGTGACCCAATTTAGCTATTAACTGATTAATAGTGCGATCTGGCCAGGACTTCAATCAAGAGCGGCCTGTCAGTGGGGAGAGTCTTCAGGGTTCAATTCTTGTGCAATGTTGTTCTTTGAAGTTTTGCTGTTGAGTTTTTCTGGTGTTTGATTCTTATACAGATGTTCATCTTTCAGTCTTTGAGGTGATACAGTGATGATTTCTTTAGAGTCTTTCATCCAGGTTATTGCAAGTCTGCAGCTGGCCTTCTTATCGAGAATAATTTCTTTGCTTTTTGTTACATTTGGCATTGACTTTGTGTTCAAAGATACAGGTTTCCTGTGATTAATCTATAGAGTAATCCTTGTTCTTTGTGGCTATACAGCATCCAGTTTATCAGGCTGGTGTTTATGTAATCTCACCAAAACATGGCCGATTGTTTGAGTCTATGTGTAACAGCTTGTCTTTGTTTCTTAACTGTTTATTCCAGACAGAGTTATTGCTGTGTGTAATAGTTTATCTTTCGTTGATTCATTCAGTCCATGAACAGCTATTAAAGTTCTGAAGTCTGTAATATCACACAACTTTTAGCCTCTCTCCTGCATTTGAGATACTCTCTGATTTCATTTGCTATTATTATTCCGGTATGCATCATATGCCTGCTTCCTATTCCTTATTTTTTCATCAATATCCTTATTCATCCAGGATACTCTAGATTTGGATGCTCCATGTTTACTTCTCATGTGTATGTACCTAGATTGCAACCTTTTCATCTCTCTTTTGGAAGTCTCCCATTGTTGTTGTCGTTTCCAGGAGCAGAGTCAGAGGGAGGAGCAGCCAGAGCACGGTAATATAAATCTAACTTACCTTGGGGATTCATGGCCTTGTTTCCAGGAGTGGAGGCAGAGGGAGGTGTACCCGGAGCACCCAAATCCAAACTGGTAAGGTGATGTCACAGGAGAATTATGACCCGATTGGCTGATAGGAAATCTGCCCTAAATTTGAAAAGGACACTCCAGAACTAATAAATTATTTAACTGGGATTAACTAACTAATAACTTAATCAACCAAGTGGAGATGGCTGGATAGGTAATGTGCTGAAGCTGTGAGATGTGGAGCTGGCTGATCCCATTGCGAACTGCAGTGACCACATCTGCAGCAAGTGTTGGTTGCTCAACAAAAGTCGGCTCAGAGTTGATGAGCTGGAATCTGAGCTTCAGATACTGCGGCACATCCGGTAGGGGGAGAAATACCTGGACACTTTGTTTCAGGAGGCAGTCACACTTGGTAGATTAAACATTTCAAATTCGGTCAGCGATCAGGATCAACAAGGTGTGACTGCAAGTGAAGCAGGTAGGAGGATCCTGAGTTCAGTAACAGAGGAGCCTCAGCTCTTGACCTTGTACAACTGGTACGAGGTACTTATACCCTGTGAGAATAAGGAAAAGGGCTGCAGGGAGGATGAGCCAGCTGACCACTGTGCCGTGGTATGGGAGGCCATTCAAGATGGAGGGAACAAAAAGACAAGTGGTAGTTGTAGGGGACTCTGTATTTAGGGGGCTTGAAAGCGTCCTTTGCAAGTAGGATCGAGAGTCCTGCATGGTGTGTTGCCTGCCCCGGTGCCAGGGTGAGGGACATCTCTGACGGCTTGAAAGGATATTGGAGCAGGAGGGCAAGGATCCAGTTGTTGTGGTCCACATTGGGACAAACAGCATAGGGAAGGCTAGGAAGGAAGACCTGTTTGGGGATTATCAAGCACGAGGGAAGAAATTAAGGAACAGGACCTCAAGGTTATAATCTTTGGATTACTGCCCAAGTCACTTGCAAATTGGCACAGGGATAAGAAAAGTAGGGAAGTAAACACATGGCAAAAGCAGTAGTGTGAGAAAGAAGGGTTCCATTTCATAGGGCATTGGCATCAGTTTTGGAACAGGAGAGATCTGTATCTCCACCTGAATCGATCTGTAAGCAGTGTTCTAGCGAAAAGAATAAATACGGTAGACACTAGGACTTTAAGTGAAATGGGGGGAAGGGAAGGGGAAAATGACAGAAAATGTAATGGTAAATAGAAAAGGAAACAGCAGGTTAACATTTGTGCACGAGGGTTTAACTACATTGAGGGCTATGAAGGAAGTTAGGAGAAAGGAAAGCTCAGGTGATATTATTAATGGAGATGTTAAAATTCAAAAAAAGGTATAAAAATTAGCATAAAGGCACTTTACCCGAATGCTCATAGCATTCTAAACAAGGTAAATGAGTTAATGGCACAAATCATCGCGAATGAATATGATTTGGTAGCCATTACAGAGACATGGTTGCAGGCTGGTCATGACTGAAAATTAAGTATCCAAGGACTATTCAAAAGGACAGACAGGCAGGTAAGGGAGATGGTGTTGCTCTGATATTTAAGCACAACATCAGGGCGATAGTGAGAGATAACATAAGTTCTATGGAGAATAAGGTTGAATCCACCTGGGTGGAAATGAGAAATTCTAAGAAGAAAATGCCACTGGTAGGTGTAGTTTGTAGGCCACCAAATATTACATCACATTGGGACAGGCAATAAATAAAGAAATAATTAACACGGTAAAAATAGTATGGCAATTATCGTGGGAGACTTTAATCTACACATCGATTGGTCGAACCAGGTCAATCAAGCCAGCCTTGAGGAGGAGTTCATTGAATGTATCCACGATAGCTTTCTTGAACAGTATGTAATGGAAACAACAAGGGAGGAAGCTACCCTAGATCTGGTCCTGTGTAATGAGACAGGGGTAATTAAGGATTTCATAATTAGGGATCCTGTTGGAAGGAGTGATCACAGTATTTAGAATTTAGAATACAGATTGAAAGTGAGAAGATAAAGTCCAATACCAGAGCCTGTGCTTAAACAAAGTATAATAGGATGAGGGAAGAGTTGGCTAAAGTAGACTTGAAGCAAAGTCTTTATGGTGGGACAGTTGAGGAACAGTAGAGGACTTCCTAAGCAATTATTTCAAAGTGCTCAGCAAAAGTATATACCAATGAAAGAGAAGGACTATAAGAAAAGGGGTAATCAGACGTGGATGTCTAAGGAAATAAGGGAGGCTATCAAATTGAAAGATAAGGCATACAAAATGGCAAAGAACAGTGGGAAACTAGAAGACTGGGAAATCTTTAAACGCCAACCGAAAGCCACAAAAAAGGCTATGAAGAAAAGTAAGATAGATTATGAGACTAAACTAGCTCAGAATATAAAGACAGATAGCAACAGTTTCTATAAATATATAAAATGAAAAAAAAGTGGCTATGGTAAACATTAGTCCTTTAGAGGATGAGAGGGGGGATTTAATCATGGGAAATGAGGAAAAAGGTGAGGCATTGAACAGGTATTGTGCATCGGTCTTCACAGTGGAGGACATGAATATCTTGCCAGTAATTGATGACAAAGAAACTAAGGTAGGTGAGGACCTAGAAATGATCATTATCACAAAAGAGGTAGTGTTGGGCAAGCTAATGGAGCTAAAGGTAGAAAAGTTTCCTGGCCCTGATGGAATGCGTCCTATTAAAGAGGTGGTGGGAGTAATAGCAAATGCACTCATAGTAATTTTCCAGTATTTGGTGGACTCTGGAGCCGTACCATCAGATTGGAAAACAGCCAATGTGATGCCACTGCTCAAAAAAGGAGGTAGACAAAAGATGGGGAATTATAGGCTGGTTAGCTTAACTTGCATAGTGAGGAAAATGCTTGAATCTCTCATCAAGGGAAAAAAATAGCAAGACATCTGGACAGAAATTGTCCCATTGGACGGGTGCAGCATGGATTCATGAAGGGCAAGTCATGTTTGACTAATTTGTTGGAATTCTATGAAGATATCATGAGCACACTGGACAATGGGGACCCAGTAGATGTGGTGTATCTAGATTTCCAAAAGGTATTCAACAAGGTGCTGCACAAAAAGCTGCTGCATAAGATAAAAGTACACAGCATTAAAGGCAATGTATTAGCATAGATCAAGGATTGGTTAACTAACGGGAAGCAAAGAGTGAGAATAAATGAGTGGTTTTCTGTTTGGCGAACAGTGACTAGTGGTGTGCCTCAGGGATCAGTGCTGGGACCGCAATTGTTTATAATTTTCATAGATGATTTGGAGTTGGGGACCACATGTAGTATGTCAAAGTTTGCGGATGACACTAAGATGAGTGGTACAGCAAAGTGTGCAGAGGACTGTGAAAGTTTGCGAAGGGATATAGATAGTTTAAGTGAGTGGGCGAAGGTCTGGCAGATGGAATTCAATGCTGATAAATGTGAAGTCATCTATTTTGGTCAGAATAACAGTAAAAGGGACTATTACTTGAAGGTTAAAAAATTGCAGCATGCTGCTGTGCAGAGGGACCTAGGTGTCCTTGTGCATGAATCACAGAAGGTTGGTTTGCAAGTACTGGGAGATAACAAGAACTGCAGATGCTGGAGTCAGAGTCAGTACAGTCTGGAGCTGGAGGAACACAACAGGTCAGGCAGCATCAGAGGAGAAGGAAAGCTAACGTTTCAGGTTTACACCCCTCATCAGGACTGGAGAGGGGGAAGGGAGCTCGGAAATAAATATGGGGAGGTGGGGATAGGGAAGGTAGGTGGGTTGGTGATAGATGGATGCAGGTAGGGAGTTGTAGAGATTGGTCAGTGGGAAGGACAGGATGGACAGGTAGGAAAGAAGATGGACAAATTGTGCCAGGTCAAGGAGGTGGGGATGAGAGGGAGGGTTGGACATGGGATAAGTGCGGGGTGGGGAGATTTTGGAATTGGTGAATTCTACGTTCAGGCCATCGGATTGTAAGCTCCCGAGGTGGAAAGAGAGGTGCTGTTCCTCCAGTTTGCATGTGGCATCATTGTGACACTGGAGGAGGCCCAGGATGGAGATGTCACCCAGGGTGTGGGAAGGGGGAAATTAAAATGGTTGGCAACCGGAAGGTGCTGTTGATTACAGATGCTCCGCGAAATGGTCACTGAGCCTGCACTTGGTCTCACCAATGTAGAGGACATCACGTTGGGAGGAATGGATACAGTAGAGCAAGTTGGAGGATGTATAGGTGAATCCCTGTCGGATTTGGAAAGATTGTCTGGGGCCTTGGACAGATGTGAGAGGGGAGGCGTAGGGGCAGGTGTAGCACCTTCTACGTTTCCAGGGAAAGGTGCTCGGTGTGGCGGGGTTGGTGGGGAGTGTGGAGCAGACAAGGGAGTTGTGACGTGAGCGGTCTCTACGAAAGGCAGATAGGGGTGCGGAAAGAAATAAAAACCGAGGGGTTGTTTACAATCAGGATCAAAAACAGAAACAGTTCTGAGGAAGGGTCACCCGACCCGAAACATTGACTCTGATATTTTCTTCACAGATGCTGCCAAACCTACTGAGCTTTTCCAGCAACTTCTGTTGTTGTTTTGGTTGAGGACTTTTGTGGTACTGTGGTAGGATCTCTACCTCTGAGCCAGGAGGCTCAAGCCTCACCTGCTCCCGAGGTGTGTCATAGCATCCCTGACCAGGTTAATTAGAAAATATCTAACTGCTTCAGCTGTGAACAAGACAGAGAGAATTGCTCTCTCTCTCTCTCTTCTTTCCGTTTCATATTCATTGTGACCAGTGTTTCCTTCAATGACAACAGCTGTGAAGCACGACAACAGCTGTGAAGCACAACCACAGTAAAGATTTTGACGTCATTGTGTTGTTTCTATGGAAACAATAAAAAAAAGCTCTGTTTCTTCACCTCCCCATGATAGTAATATCTACACTAAGTGTATTCTATTCTTGATAATTAACTAACTTTGAAACATTTGACATATTTGTTTCATCCTATTCTGAAGTTAATAATTCACATGGTTTCTATTTTAGCATTTTCCTGAGCTCTGACTTGGAGACCAGTAGCAGGTGAGGTGGATGGGGAGGGGGTAAAGGGGGTAGACAGGGAGACAAAGGTAGAGGGTAAAGGAGGAACATGGAGAAAATGAGGGTAAAGGGAGAGGGTAAAAGGGGAGAGACAGGGAGGATATGAGGGTGAGAGGAGGGTGACAAGGAGAAAATGAGAGTGAGAGGAGGGATTTCTTTTTATTCTTTTATTCACTCGTGGGACATGACCATCACTGGCTGAGCCTGTGTTTATTGCCCATCCCTATTTCCCAATGAGAAGGTGGGGATGAGCTACCTTTTTGAATTGCTGCAGTTCATGTGCTGTCGGTAGACCCACAATGCCGTTAGGGAGGGAAGTCCAGGACTTTGACCTGGTGACAGTGAAGGAATGGCGATATATTTCCAAGTCAGGATGGTGAGTGGCTTGGAGCGGAACTTGACGGTGGTGGTGTTTCTATGTATTTGCTGCCCTTGACTTTCTGGATGGAAATGGTCAAGTGTTTGGAAGGTGCTGTTTGAGGAGCCTTGGCAAATTCCCACAGTGTATCCTGTTGGCAGTACATACTGCTGCTTTTGAGTGTCAGTGATGGATGGAGTGAATTCTTGCAAATGTGGTGCCTATTAAATAGGCTGTTTTGTCCTGGATGGTATCAAGCTCCTTGAGTGTTGTTGTAGCTGTACTCATCCAGGCAAATGGGGAGGCAGGAAAGGAGGGACAGGTAAGGGAGGAGATAATGGAAAGGGGTAAATGGTGAAGAGGTGAGGGCAAAGTAAGGCATGTAGAGGTGGTGTGTTGGAAGGCAACTGATGTGGGAAGACATTGGGGTGTTGAGGATGGAAGATCAGAGAGTATGGTGGAGAACAGAGCATCTTACATGGATTTGTAAACCAATATTATTTAAAAGTGTATGGTATCATCAGGCTTATTACCTTCTGATTCTTGTCATTGAAACCAACAAAATATTTGCTTTACTGTTAGGAAATGATACTTTGAACCCTCTGAGACCTCAAACCAAGGTTCAATTTGACTTCGCCCGTTAGTGTTGAAGATCGCAGGCAATGGTTGAAGGGCAAGTGAGAGATCCTTACTGTCTGGTGAGAATTGAATGTTCAACTAACCTCAATAAGACTGATGACCTGGTCATTATTTCATTACAATTTGAGAGAGCTTACAATGTGCCAACCAACAGCCATGAGTTTTACATGACAGAAATAACCACATTTCAGTAGTAGTTCATTACAAAACATTCGGGACTTCCTGAGATTGTGAAAGATGCTAAGAAATGCATGTCTACATTTTGACTAATCACCGCTGCATTAATTCCTTTTCTTAATTCCACCCTGTACTGCCCCATGTACACCACCCTGTACACCAGGCTGCCCCGCCCTGGGTTCCCATCTGAAACAATGGAGTACTCCTTAAATATAAAACTGATTTAAGAGAATGGTTCCAGGAATGAGAAACTTCAGTGATGAGTATAGATTGAAGAAGTGGAACTGTTCTGCTTGGAGGGAAGGCTGAGAGGAGATTCGATAGAGGTTTCCAAAATCATGAGTGGACTGGATATAGTAGATAGGGGTGTTCCTGCTTATAAAAGGAACAAGAACAAGAGATGTGAAAAAGAAGCAATGGTGATGTGAGAAAAAAATCTTTTTTGCACAGAGAGTAGTTAGGGTGTGGAATGCACTGTTTGGACATGTAGTGTAGCAAGATTGAGATGTGGCATTCAGAGGGCATTGGATGATTCTTTAGATAGAAATGGTGTACAGGGATATATGGGAAGACAGGAATTGGCAATAGTTAATAGAACCAGTGCTAGCACAATAGGTCGAATGGCCTGCCACAATTCTCTGATTCTGTTAAATGCAGAATAAAGATATTTTCAAAGAAATGTTAGAGCTGACTTTGTTGTGGTATATCATTTTATGAAATAATCCCAGGTACAGATTACGATCATTTATTTTACCAACACATCGGGAGAGCTCTACCTCAAAAGATTCTGAGGCAGGACTCTGTTTAGCCAAGAAATCATCAGATACTTTATACATGAAAAACACATAGGCAGTACACTACTTGAATTCCAACATGATCTGTTTAGGCTTAGATAAATCAAAAATACTTCTGCAGATTCTAATGAGACGTGGTGTTTGGTACTCCTGGCCTTATTTGCCTCCCCTATCTCTAGATGCTGCCCTAAACTTTCCTCTGGAGCCTGCTTCTATTTAATCTTGTAACCTGGTGAGATGAGCTTTGTCTACAATGTCATGATATTGACCATAGCTCAGAGTGGTACTGATGTCACTAGATGTTCAAGTGACTGATAAGGACACAGGTTGTTAGCAGTTCGGCCACAGCTGCATGGTATGTCTCAGTTAAACTCAGAAACCTTCTTAGTTCACTCAAATGGAAATGAATGAACTATACATTCTAAAGTAACTAAATTCCCTAGTTTTTTCTACCATCCTGCTTAACACTGCTTAAGACTTTTATTGATCATTTTTGTTTCTTCCCCCAGTGAATTATGGAGGTGACCCATATTCAAAACCCATTTTCAGTATTTCCCCCGACACTTTATCAAAGGAGCCTTGACATTTGGGACTTCTTTGAGTTGGTTCACAGAGATCAAACCCCCAGATTAATTCCAGAGCTGATTGGAGTGTGCGATGACGGACTGTGAGAGGAAATGTGATTTGGACAGGTTGAGTGAATGGGCAAATGTAGTATAATGTAGCTAAATTTGAGGTTATCCACTTGGGGAGCAAAAAGAGGAAGGTGGATATTATTTGAATGGCTATGAATTGGGAGTGAGGAATGTGCAACGAGACCTGGGTGTCCTCGTTCACCGGTCACTGAAGGTAAGCACGCAAGTGCAGCAGGTGGTAAAGAAGGACATAACTATGTTGGCCTTCATAGTGAGGGGATTTAAGTACAGAAGCAGGGATATCTTGCTGCAGTTATACAGGACTTTGGGAAGACCACATTGGAATATTGTGTGCAATTTTAGTTGTCTTATATGAGGAAGAATGTTCTGGCTATGGAGGGAGTGCAACAACAATTTACCAAACTGATTCCTAGGATGGTGTGATTGACGTATGAGCATAAATTGAGTCACTTAGGACTATATTCACTGGAGTTTAGAAGAATCAGGGGGATCTCATAGAAATCTAGACAAGGTAGGCGACAGGGAAATCGAGAATCAGGGGTCACAGTCTAAGGATATGTGGTAAACCATTTTGGACTGAGATGAGAATTTTCTCTCCCAGAGAGTGGTCAGCTGTGGAATTCATTACCACAGAAAGCAGTCAAAGCCAAAACACTGAATGATCTCAAGAACGGATTGGATATAGCACTTGGGGCAAAAGGGTATTGGGAAAAGCAGAAACAGCTACTGAGTTGGATAATCCGTTGTGATCATAATGAATGGCAGAGTAGGCTGGAAGGGCAGATTGGCCTACTCCTGCTCCTATTTTTGATTACTGTGTTTGATTTTGTTTTGTATGAATGGCCTGAGATGGTATGAGTAGTCTCATTGATTTGCACTTATTTTTTGAAATCTACTCATCGCACACACTATAAAACATTTCTAATGAGTAGCTTAACTTTATCTGAAGTGAACAAGGGACTTATTCTGAGAAACAGATTTCGCACTGCGCCAAGATCCCACATAAACCACCCAGAATTTACTGAGAAACTAACAGCCTAAAAATAAAGCTGTGTCTGCACTGATCCTGTGGGTTGCACTGATCAGCCAGCGCTATAAATTGCAGTAGTAGTGATGATAGGATGGAGCCCCGTGCTAAAACCATTGAGACAATATCCAAGAGCAGTATTAAACTCTCCTTGACCAAGAAACATAGCAACTTGGGGAATGGGAGTATGGGAACAGTTCTTCGTTGTTATGCCACTGGCCCCCATTATCAGGCGAAGACACTCCAGGAATTGTGTGTGAATGCAGTTTGGGAGGAACTAGTTCAGTGGGAATGGTATCACCTCTCTGTACCAGGGCCTTGTGAATGATAACATAATTCTTGGAGTGAACCCAGAACAGTATTGTGTGCAATTCTGGTCTCCCTCCTATAGGAAAGATGTTGTGAAACTAGAAGGGCTTCAGAAAAGATTTGAGGATGTTGCCAAGGTTGGAGGGTTTGAGCTATAGGGAGAGACTTAATAGGCTGGGGCTATGTTCCCTGGAGCGTCAGAGGCTAGGGGTGACCTTATAAAGGGCATGGATAGGGTAAATAGGCAAGGTCTTTTCCCTGGGCTGGGGGAGTCCGAAACTAGAGGGCATAGGTTTAAGGTGAGAGGGTAAAAATATAAAAGGGACCTTAGAAGCAACTTTTTCACACAGAGGATGGTACGTGAATGAAATGAGCTGCCAGAGAAAGTGGTGGAGGCTGGTATGATTACAGCATTTAAAAGGCATCTGGATGGGTACATGAGTAGGAAGGGTTTAAAGGGATATAGGCTAAATGCTGGCAAATGGGACTAGATTTACATTGGATATCTGGTCGGCATGGACAAGTTGGACCGAAGAATCTGTTTCCATGCTGTATATCTCCATGATTCCATGCAGATCTGAGCAAAGAAAAGGCAGGAAGTCGAAATTCAGTATGGAATATCCCAGACAAATAGGAGCACACTCATAACAAAGCAAAAGAAGGGCCCCTGGTGCTGTGACTTGATGCAGCACTCACCAGTGCAGGCAGTAACTTCTCTTCTATCAGAGAGGCAGAGGCAAAGGCAAGTGTGTCAGCCATCTGTGTTGCTGAGAGCCTGTAGTCAGCATTATACTTCTGCAAAGAAAAAGGTAATGTTAGTAAGCAGTCGTTCAGCCACAAAATCACAACAGCCTGCTCCACCAGAAACCATGTGGATGCCCAAAGGGAATGAGTTAGGGATTGGATACACCGAATGGCTTTATATACAAGAATGACAGCTGTGAGTGAGTTACAGGCTGCATTCTAACAAAGGGGTTGGGACAATTTATATATATTTGGAAGAGAGGTCTTGTACAACACACTTCATCAGATATTTTTTAATTTGCCAACAATGAAACTGTCACTTTAGTGTCTGTAAACAATTAAAAAGGTCGGGTTGATCCGAAACCAAAATGTGCAAAATTGACCCCCTGACCAATTTTCATCACTGACTGCAATTTGGAAGTGTTTAGTAATGAAGGGATTTCCACTGGAAGGGAATCACATTCCTGGCCAATTTATGTAAATAGGAGGTTGTTATAGTTCGTAATGCTACACCAGGTTTACTAGGCCTCTGGTAATGGGAGTGGGTTGCAGGAAGTATGGAACTGCATCACACAGGCCAGATTAGAGCAGACAGCCTGAGCTGTAACCCAGTCTGTCCTGATCTTAGCCAGGACAAGTTGTAGACATTTTTACTGTCCCTCTCGGTGTCACCTGTTGCTGCTGCTGCTCTACGGCCATGAGAGAATCAGGCTTCATGGTGCTGTTATCTTAGGTAAATAACATGCTGATCCTCACCTTCTGAACTCACATGTTACAAGTGGTAACTTAGCTAAGATGCTGGGAGCACTTGGTGCTTCAAGCTGTGTCAAGTGAGAAAACAGGAACAAAACATCACCTCTCAATGCTACTTTCATGGTCAGAAATCACACGACACCAGGTTACAGTCCAACAGGTTCACACACATGGGCCAAACATGGGCAAGTGGGACTAGTTTAGTTTGGAAACTTGATCTGCATGGGCAAGTTGGACCGAAGGGTCTATTTCTGTGCTGTTTGACCCTATTGATAACGGTGGCACAGTGGTTAGCACTGCTGCCTCACAGCGCCAGGAACCTGGGTTTGATTCCAGCCTTGGGTGAATGTCTGTGTGGAGTTTGCACATTCTCCCTGTGTCTGCGTGGGTTTCCTCCGGGTGCTCCGGTTTCCTCCCACAGTCCAAAGATGTGCAGGTGAGGTGGATTGACCATGCTAAATTGCCCGTAGTGTTCAGGGATGTGTAGATTAGGTGGGTTATAGGGGGATGGGTCTGGGTGGGATGCTCTGAGGTTTGGTGTGGACTTGTTGGGCCGAAGGGCCTGTTTCCACACTGTAGGGATTCTATGATTTTGTACA